TTACTATTATTTTTTCAAGTACAATATGTCAATATTCTTCTGGAATATTGAGAGTTATAATTTATACTCTTCAGGAGCAAATAATATTTTTATAATGTTGTGCTACTTCTGGAGCAACAACGAATAGATCAATGATTAATATTCTTCTGGAATATTAATTATAATGTTGTGCTACTTCAAGAGCAACAACAATTAAAAATAAATAAAATGTAATGTTTCATAACTAAATATAAAAAAAATGATAATACACCCAATTGCTCACCATTAATTAATATACAAACACATGTAAAATATTATTTTGAATTAATAACGTGAGTAAAGTGAAACACAAAAAAAAATTGGTGACATGTAGAAACATATTCACATATTATGGCACAAAATTCTAATTATGTGCAATTAAATGAATTGAATTAGTATTAACCAATTAAGGCATGAAATTTGTAGAAATCAATGGATTTGAGAGAAAAGATGAATTTGGTACAATTATTTGTTAATTGTATATTATATATATATGGAATCAGCCAAACCAGAGATTTGGAATCGAAGTTTGCTTATAAAGAACATTGACCAATTAAACAAAAAAAAAAAATTATAAGCATGTGTAGAACGTAAAGGGCTAATCTAAATATAAGGAGGGTATATGAACATGAATTAATGCATATCAATTGATTTAACATAAATATATCTCCATAAAAATGCACGTGAATTGATGTAAAGGAAAAAACATTAATTAATTCAAAGAGAGGTGCAAAGAAAACATAATGATCGAGAAAGATGAAATCACGTATTGCAGATTCAATATATGAATATGTAAAATTCACGTCTTATCAAATTAATTTTGATATACGTGATAGATGATTATGAAAAAAAATTACTATCTTCTAAGAGTTTCGTGCTGATAACGTGTTATAAAATGAGAGGAAAGAGAATATAGAAAACTCAATAAACTTTTTGTGTGTATTATTGAAAACCAAAACCCTATATTTATATGTAAGAATTAGGGAAACAATGGTAATAATTTCTAGGACTACAGGGGTACAAATATCATTCACCAATAAACTTTAATGGACTTTCCATTTACAACAGTAACTGTATTTTTTTAATTTACCCAAAATATTTATTCTTGGAATATGAGCAATTAACAAGATTGATTATCAAAGGGACCACAATAAGTTCATTAAGGCCAACGGTATGTGCACAAGAATTGTTTCCTAAAAATAACAAGGGCAACGAGCTAAGGATATACCAACATGCTAAAAATGTAATTCACAAAGGTGCAAAATATCAATGAAAATATTGCCATTGCATTGCAGGCTGATCTATTTTTGAGTCCAAAACCATGTACTTCGCCTTTCTATCTTGTCCAAACCAGATGCACCATACTTTAGTACCCGAAGAGATTTCATAAGAAATGCAGCAAACGAATTCTCCAGATAGTGAATATCATTGATCCTGAGAAAATAAAGATTAAACTCCGCATGTTAGATAATTGCATAGGATTGGGGGAAGTGGAAAACAGAGCAAAAGGGAAAAGGGAGACCCTGAAGGAAAGCACGGAATAACAATAGGAAAATTGGAACGATATATTGAATAGCAACCATACCTCCAGTTGTTGTGCAGCATTTGAATGAATGCCAATATTAGTGGGCACTCCCTCTAGAGGAGTATCAGCGTCATCTTGCCCATTAGTGTGCTTTCCACTCACGCTTGAATCTTTTGAATTAGAAAGAGCATCATCCTGAATCTATAGGAAAAAGCTCAACTGATTAAAGCAGCATTCAATTGATTCAATCCATATTATCAACTGATCAATGGGCCGATAGCATACAAGAGTTGCTTGATTATTCAGTTCCTCCTTATTAAAATTCGAAGCAGTGATTCCTTGGATGTACTCTTGCTGCACATTAAGATCAGCCCAGGATAAAGGCCTGACTAAAATGTTTAAAATACAAGCATGATAATATTGTAAAACAAACTACTGAGTCTATGCAACATTGATCACAACTCGTCTATTACTATACAGTTAAGGAAGAAAATATTGAATTACTTGCATCAATAGGAGAATCTTATGGTCTGTTCTCTTTGCCGTTTTCAGACCGTTTTCTGTTTTCGATTTTTCAAAACGGTGAAAACGCGTTCTCTTTCCCAGAAGAAAACGCAAAACGACCAAAATGTCGTTTTGGCTGTTTTGTGTACAAAACTTGTAAAAATCAGAAAACGCGGAAAACGGCCCAAATTAAAAAATTTCCACCGTCTTCTTCAATTCTCATCCCCTTCACAGTCGTCGCCTTCTTCTTCCAAACTCCACCACCACCGAACTCCACCACCAATTGAACCCTCTCACCTCCCCCCAGTGGCGGCGCCACACTTGGGCACTTCGAAAATAGTGGACCGCTCGAATTTTTTGCACAAGCCACTGATTGCACCAATAAATTAATCAACTTCTGGGCGAAATTGAAGTTGACCCATGGCTGCACAAGGTGCGTCAGGTGAAGAGGAGTTCAACCCATGTGGTCCGCGAACATGGGTCGACCGGACGATGCCGAAATCTGCAAAAATTGGATTCTGCTGGACAGGCTTCGCGACACCCAAAATTTCTGGGTTAAATTTAGATTTTTGAATTGTTGTTTGTGTTAAATTGGGGCCATGGTTGGGGTCGGTTTGTGGTAAGCAATCGACCAGTGATGGGCTCCGATCAAGTTGGTGGCCAAAGGTAGAGTTTCTGGCAATTTTCAAATGTCCGAACAGCCTACTTTGTGGATTGATTTCTGCCAAATCAAGTTGAGTTATGGGGAGATGTTGGTTAAGAATTGAAGAGGAGGTTAAGGGCTTTCCGATGGTACCAATATCCGGTGGTCTTGGTGGCCAAAAATTGCCAGAAATTTGATCCATGATGGCGGTGGGTGAAGGGTTGATTTGGTGATGGAGATGGAGATGGTTTTCGAAACAGGCTTGGGGTTTGGCCGACAATAAAAGCGTTTTCGACTTTTACGTTTTGAGAAACATTTTTTTAAAATGACCAAAAGAACGTGCTTTCAACAATTTCAAAACGAACACTCAAAACACAAAACTCAACCACGAAGAGAACACCCCCTTAGTTATCAACGGAACCAAAGCAGTGATTACAATACAATTTAAATTTTCATAAGACGTAGAAAAGAGTAGCCTGTTCTTTATTGATGTCACACCCTCATATTCATCTTATATTATTTCCTTGAATTTCTTTTCCAATTACATTTCATTTTTGGCTAACATTCCACTAATGCTCTTCATTCAACCAAAAAATGTTGCAAATATGTTTCTTGTGCATGACATAATTACCTGACATCAGACTAATCCATTTCTAATTCCATGAGCTAAATAGATGAAAAAGAGTTTATATCTACAAAAACCCGTCTATATGAAATTTAACAAACAATAAATAAAATTTACTGCAAGATCCACATCCAAGGTACAACCCTAACTTTCTTTTGAAGACTTCTTACAAAATCTTGCTCCATAATCATTTAAACAAGAATTGCTTTCTACGTTATGAAAGAAACAAAATTAGAAAGTACTAATATGTTGAAAATTATTTTACTGACATAATCAGTAAATATGTCTAATATCCCGAAATTCATTATACAAATATGATCCAAGTACAATGAATAAACTCATTTACTGAAGCTCAAACCTAATTGAGGGTTTATATAACAAATAAAGAAACCTCATATGTAGGAATGATGAAATGAAAGTAGTTTTTTATGTTTTGTTTGCAATCAATTCAATTGATTAATAAATGAAACATTATTATTCATGATTAATAGTACTTGAAGACAGAATGAAGAAGAGACTCTCCCCCCATAGTCACCAACATTTTCATCTTTATCAATTGTAATCCTAGGGATATTTTCAACTGTCATACCGTGTCAAAAATATTCTGGACCTCTTCAAATTTGTTGTTTCCACAGCTCCCATCCGATTGAAGAAAACGAAAATCGTTTAGAACAACTAAAAAATAAAATTTTGTAATCCCTATATTTTGCGAATCAAATAGAATCACATTTCACTTTGCACAACACAGCATATTCTTTTCCCTCTTTAAGCCCATAAACTATGATTCTCAGAAGAAATTGGAAACCCAATTTTTAATTCATAATTTCATATTCCTAAGACCCAAACTAAATCTCAAATTCAGCATAAGAGAACAACAACCAAATCAAGCTAAAATCCAACTCAACTTTTCCCAATAAAGTGCAATCTAAATTAAAACATGTACATTCAAGAAACTAAACAATTATACCACTAAACTACATTAAACCTAAGATAAAATACAGCGAAACCCAAAATCAGCATAGTAGTTGAACAAGTAGAAACATAATAATACTTCACTAAAAACTTATGGCCTAAGCTAATGAAATCACAGATATGAAAAAATAGATAACAAGTGAGGAGCTGACATCGAGAAAAAGAGGGACAACTTTGAAAATGGCTGGTAGATTCTTCCTATTTTTCACAATAACCTTTCTTATTAAAAGTACTATATTGCCCTTAATGAAATTATTTACAAGATCTATCTTATATCTTTAAGGAATTGTCAATCAG